GGGTAGGTGACAGCCTGATGGATTGGGGTAGTGAGTTCCAGATGATGGGGGACATCCTGGAGAAGTCCTGCAGTCGGGCGTGGGAGGTGGAGACCAGGGAGCTAGAAAGTAGGAGGTCTTGTGAGGAGCAAATATTACGGGTTGGGTGGTATTTGGGTATCAGGTCGGTGATGTAGTTTGGGGCAGCGTTGTGAATGGCTTTGTATGTTAGTGTTAGTAGTTTGAATTTAATGCGTTGGGCAATCAGGAGCCAGTGGAGGGAATGACAGAGGGGGGTGGCAGAAGAGGATGAGTCTGGCCGCTGAGTTTAGGATAGACTGAAGCGGGATAGTCTGTGATGAGGTAGGCCGGTGAGAAGGGAGTTGCAGGAGTCCAGAGGTGAAATTATGAGGGAGTGAACGAGTTGTTTAGTAGTGTCTGGGGTTAGGAACGTACGTATTTTGGAGATGTTGCGGAGGTGGAGGCTGCATGAGTTTGCCAACGATTGGACATGGGATTGGAAGGATAGGTTTGAGTCTAGACTGACACCTAGGACTTTGGCTTGCGGGGTGGGACTGATGGTGGCGTTGTTGGTCATGATGGAGAGGGTGGGGGGGGCGTGAGCTGGGGGGAAGATTAGGAGCTCGGTTTTGGAAAGGTTCAATTTGAGGAAATGGAGCGACATCCAGTCTGATATGTCGTTCAGCAGGTGGGTGATACGGGCGGAGACTGAAGGGGTGAGGTGAGGGGTGGAGAGGTAAATTGCATGTCATCGGCGTAGAGGTGATAGTTGAAGTCATGGGAGTGTATCAATTTGCCGAGGGAGGAGGTGTAGATGGAGAAGAGAAGGGGCCCGAGGACAGAGCCTTGGGGGACCCCAAAAGAGGGGGAGAGAGGAGGAGGTGGTAGCGTTATAGGTAACACTGAAGGAGCATTGGGATAGGTAGGAGGAGAGCCAGGAGAGAGCGGAGTCTCTGATGCCGAAGCAGTGTAGTTTATTAAGGAGGAGGGGTGTCAGGGCAGGGCTGTGGAACGGACAGGTAGGCCTAGTGGCAGGGTAACGCACTGGCTGACGACAACCACCACCAACAGACCGAAGTCCCTCAGGGAGCGGAGACTAAGTCCCAGGCTGCCCTTCACCAGGGCCCCTGATGGTGGGGATGGACTTGACGCAGCCAGGAACCAGGTCGCGGCCCCCGAGACACCCCAGCTGCGGTAATGGCCGCCGCCAATGGCGTGTAGCTGGTGAGAATGACAATAGCGTAGTCAGGCAAGCCGGGTCGACAACAATGGGACAAAACAGTACAGAACAATAGACAGAGAACCACAGGTCACGGGCCGGGTTCAGCAACGGAAGGTCAGATCGAAGGAAACCACAGAGAATGGTCTTAGTCACAAGCCGAGTCAGAATACCAGAAGAGTCATGACCATATACACAGAGCTGTAGCAAGACCAAGACACCAGTGCAAAGAGCATATGCGGATCACAGGCTTATATGTACTCAGCCACACCCCTCTGGGGGATGGACCTCAGAGACCTGAAGGCATAAAAGCTTCCCACCATGTTCAGCAGAAATCCAAGATGGATGCTAGCACATGGAGTAACATAACCTCTGGGAAAAGGTAGGACCTTGACAAGGGGGTAGTCAACTGTGTCGAAGGCCGCGGAGAGGTCAAGGAGTAAAAGGACTGAGTAGTGGCCATTAGCTTTGGCAGTTAGCAGGTCATTAGTGATTTTGGGTAGGGTGGTTTCGGTGGAGTGTGTAGAGGACGGAAGCCAGACTGTAGTGGATTGAGGAGGTTGTTGTCAGTGAGGTGGGCACTTAGGCGATTGTAGACTAAGCGCTCAAGGAGCTTGGAAGTAAATGGCAGCAGGGAGATGGGTCTAAGGTTGTTCAGGTCGGTGGGGTCCAGGGAGGGTTTTTTGAGTATGGGGGTGATGTGCGCGTGCTTTAGGGGGGAGGGGAATGCGCCAGTAGAGAGGGAGAGATTGAAGATGTGGGTGAGGGAGCGTAGGATGGAGGAGGAGGGTGCCCAGGTTGTGTGCGGATAGGGTCAAGGGGGCAAGTGGTGAGGCGGGCTTCTGAGAAGACCTTGGTGACCTCCTCAGTGATAGCAAGGCTGAAGGAGAGGAGTGTTGGTTTCTTTAACATGACAATGAGTTCACTGTACTCCAGTGGTCTCTGCAGTCACCAGATCTCAATCCAACAGAGCACCTTTGGGATGTGGTGGAACAAGAGATTTGCATCATGGATATGCAGCCAATAAATCTGCAGCAACTGCATGATGCTATCATGTAAATATCAACCAAAATCTCTGAGGAATGTTTCCTTGTTGAATCTATACTACAAAGAATTAAGGCAGTTCTGAAGGCAAAAGGGAGTTCAACCTGGTACTAGCAAGGTGTACCTAATAAAGTGGCTGGTGAGTGTATCTATACTCTTTTCTCTCCCCTGTAGCTCCATTCACCAGCCAGAGTGAATTAAAACACCTACTACTATGTATGGGGAAGTATGTGACCCTTCCTACTATGATGTAGCGCTGGGTGCCTGAGAATCAGAATTATCATTCCTGCTTAGAAAGAGAAGCTGATCTCATAGGTCACAAAACTGCTTCAAACTGTAAAATCAATGAGAGCACTAAAGCAATGGCTGAAACTGAAGCGATTGAAATTTGGTTGGCTCAGCAGGGACAAGCCAAATTTCAACCAATGTATGGGCACTGTGGTTGTACAGAAGTCAACCAGACTTCTTTACAACTACCCTGTTGGATTTTCCCCACACGATCAGCACTGCAGGTTTTTAGCCTGCAATGCTGATCAGGGAATTCTGATGGTGGGAAGTCTCCCTGTTGTCAGAATACAATAGCTCAGCAGGAGGATTCCCCCATCCACCTTAAATCTGTGGATGGGGAAATAGGGTAAGATTTTTTTCATTCAACCCGCGGTTCAGAGAAAAATCTGACTTATCTATAGGCTGCGTACGTTTTTAAAAAATCCTGTATGGATGTTCAGATGAAACGCAGTGTCAAGTTTGGGCACTCCAATGCACCTGCCGCTGATGCACCTGCTTATCCTGAGGTAAGTGCAAGACTTCTCTGTCAGTTTCACAGCCTGGTCCTACTCTGTGATTCAGGAGCACTGGCAAATTCTCCTGTGTGATTCATGCAACCATTATTTGCAGGCTTCATTCATAAATGCATTGTAACAATATTGTCACAATGTATTTTGTTAAGTATTTAATTCCTAATGGGGAGCGGGGGACAAGTTCTTAAAATAGAACTTCTCCTTTTGGAATGCGCTCCACTTTAACTAAACCAAATCCAACATCAAAGTATCCACAGGATGGCAGATGACATACGCATAGCTGCCTCAACCATACAGGAAATAGTGTGGTGTTTCTCAACCAGGGTTTTGTGGTTGCTAGGGGTTTCTTGAGCAAGGAGCAATTTCTACCTCTCAGATAAGTTCCCACTGACACCATTGATCTTTTCAGCTAGCTGTAAGAGTGGGATTCTTCCCACTGACCACCAATGTAAGGAACATTCTTCCCACTAACCACCAATGTAAGGAATATTCTTCCCACTGACCACCAATGTAAGGAGCCATTTTTCACATTAACCACCAATGTAAGGAGCATTTTGCCCACGTACCACAAATGTAAGGATCATTATTCCCACTGGCCATCACACTAAGGCCACTTTCACACGGGCATTCCATTTTTTTCATCAGTTCAGCCACATTTTTTTCCAAGAAAAAACAAATCAGTTCACATCAGTTTTTCATCAGTTTACATCTGTTTTTTTTATCCGTTTTCAATCAGTTTTCACCCGTTTACATCTGTTTTTCATTCGTTTTTCTTTAACGGAAGAAAAATAGGGTTTATTCTGTTAAAAAAAACAGATGTTAAAGGATGCGGACATTAACGGATGTAAACAGATGATCATCCGTTTACATCCGCTAGTCCACAGAAATATATGGGTGTCCGGTTTTCATCCCTAAATGGACAGATGAAAAACGGATATATGGAATGCCTGTGTGAAAGGGGCCTAATTCTACTGTGAGCTGTAGATATACATGGGAATTATTAGCAGGTGTTACCTGAGACCGGAAAGTTAATTCAAAGGTTCTTCCATGTTAAAAAGGTTGAGAAAGGCTGGGATAGAGCATAACTTTAATTTCTGCAAAGTTATGGAGAGAACCAGAAAACATTAAGCATCTTGTTTAGCATGTACAAAAACCAGTATTTGCTGAAAGAAATGAAATACATAAGATACACCATAACATCAGTGGGTGTGAAGCCTCATGATAAGAAAATTGCAGCAATTTGAAACATGTCAGCAGCACAGTATAAAAAAAAGGCTTTATTGCTCTTATTAGGCATGGCAAGGTATTTATCACAATACATTCCTCATTAAGCAGCTCTGTCTGAAGCTTTGTATGGCAATTGGGATGAAGAGCAGAAGATAAATCTGAATCCACTGCAAACAATTCTGACAAAAGTAGAGATTTTTTTGGCCTGCCCCAGAAACTAAAAAAAGAAAGCAAATGGCCTTGGAAGATTTTTTTTTTGTAGAAATAAAATCTATATTTTATGCATTAAAAGCATTATCGCATGCACGGGTTGACAAAGAGCACAGGCAGTTGTATTTGCAACAAAGAAACTTTGCCAATAAATCTCTAGAGCCCGTGTAAAGGTGCCATCTGACCATAATCCACCAGCTATTAATAATATCCACAAACTATGCTGCCAAAACCTATTGGTCATGCTCTTGGAAAAGCAAGAATGCTGTTATAGTTGCTATATTTATACTGTATAAATATGACTGTGACAAATAGATGTTTCTACACTACGTAAGCAACTTGTGAAGTGCAGACCTTTGCTTTTTTCAGGCAGGTATCAAAAAGATGAAGGCCATTCCTAGATAAAGGATGAGTCTATCTAGGATGTTATCTACAAGGTACGGGCATTTAAATTTGCATGGGAACATGGAATAGATATCTGTAATAGGGATGCACCGATACAGGGGCGGACTAACCATTTGGAAACTCGGGCACTGCCCACGGGCCCGGGGTCAGTAGAGGGCCCCATGAGATGCCCCTGGTACCTTTTTCATAGGCTTTTTTGAGTTTGGGCAAGGACACAGGGGCCACATGATCCCCTATTGCCTGGGGGCCCCATGAGTTGTCAGCCCGCCCCTGCCCCGATATATCAGCCGCCAAAAATTGTCGGCCGAAAATAGAGTTATCGGCATTTTGCTGATAGAAAGAAAAAATTGTGGCATGCTACGTCCCATAGGCTTCAATGCAAAATTACTTCTCATGGACTTCAGTGCAAAATTGCTACCCATGAACTTCAATGCAAAAAAATCACATCCCATAGACTTCAATGCAAAATCACATCCCCTAGACTTTATTACAAAAATGCCCCCTAAGTGACTTCAATGCAAAATTGTGTCCCATAGACTTCAATGCAAAAGCGCCCCCTAGCAACTTCAATGCAAAAACACCAGCCACATTAATTACATTTAAAAAACATTTATAAAAACTGTCCGTTTTGGTTTTGGGAATTTTCATTTTGGTGCACAACTAATCTGTAACCCATCTTAATTTGTCAGTGTGGTCTTTGGAAATCAGCTCTTTGGCATGGGGACCTAGACACCAAAAAAAACCCAAAAAACTTGTTTTCTCATAACACTGCACCCACTTCTCTGCTCCCAATTCTTCTCTCCAGCAGCAGGCTCTCAATTAATCCCTTTACTTCAACTAAGTGTGCCGTTCATTTCTTCTCCTGCGCTCCCCTAACAAGTGTAGCTATCAACAAACAACAACAGAGAAAAATTCCCACTTCAACTTACCAAGCAGCCTGCAACCAACCAGATTGTCCTGGCTAACAGTTCACGTTAAAAACAGGGGTTTAGTTTGCACACATTTGCAAATACATGCATAAGCTGCAGGGCCTTTCACAGCACCCCAATATTCTTCAGTTCCCATCTCTATAAATTTTGAGAGAACCCATAGTAAAAGCGCTTGTATAATAATGGATAGACTTAGGGCAGGTAAGCCTGCAAGGGAGCGCACCCCTCCTTAAAGGCACAGGGGCGCACTGGACACCCAGCATATAGCACAATGGCAGCCAAGGTGTCCAGTGCACATATCATCAACAGTAAAAACAAATTGCAACTGCCCCAATCTATAACTGGCCTTTTCAGCAAGGAGCACATAGAAGGGCGATGCATGGCAAACAACAGATAAAGATTCCCAGTTCAGCTTACCAACCTGCCTGCAACCAACCGAATTGTCCTGGCTAACAGTTCACTTTAAAAATAGGGGGTTACGCTGCAGAGCCTCTTCACTGCACCCCAATATTCTGCAGTTCCTAACTCTTTAAATTGGGTTGACCACACTACTGCCATTGGTACTTGCAACTTGCTTGAGCAGTGTGGTAGAAGAAAGGTTTTCAGCATGTCCTTTTTGACAGAAGTCAATCAAATGACTGATTTCTTTAGAACAGGGACAGCCACACACTGGATGAAATTTAGCCGATTCTTGTTGAATCAGCTGAATTTTAATCTGTGTATGGACAGCTTTAATCCCCCTTTCACATATGCAAACAATTTTCTTGAGCCAAAAAATGAACAAATAATTACCTTTTCATTAACACGTATAGTATATGTGAGCCCTTACCTTGTAAAACAATCCATTCAGTTTAAAATAGAAATGTAAGGCAAAACTGCTGTGTAAAGATACACAAGTGTGTGTGCGTGTGGAGACCGCAGGGGACGTCAGCAGGAGGCAAGGAGAAATCAGTACACTGATCTTCCCAGTGAAGAGCTGTGCAGCGAGGCATGTCAGCACAAGTCTTGGCCACTGGAAGACAGGCAGGCTGTGCTCCTAGCAGAGCCAGAAAACTGACCACACTGGGATGATGTACTCTCATGCAGGAACCTTTTTTTTTATTGAGGTTGCAACCTGAGTTGCATTGATCAAGACGGCATACACTGAAGTGAATGTTCTTTGACTTGTCATATGACCTAATATGCCATAAATCGCATGATAAGTTGCAGCAGTGTGAACCGGGGCTAAGTGTTGGCGACCATCTGCATGTGTGAACTTGCTAAAAGAAAATAATTACATTTTTCACTGCTCAGACAAGAATCTTTTCTAGTTGTGAATGGTTGTGTTTCAGAGTAAACAGTAAATACTATTGATGTTTTAGGATGCCACAGCTCATTGCTCCACAAAATACACAAGAACATTTTTCTGATATGACCAATTACCTTACTTCATTGAATGATGTGTCACATTGTTCACTGTTGCCATTTTTAGTTTCAAGTAGTTCATTCAGTGGCTTAACACAACTTCCCTGTTTGCCACATATAACCTGCATTGAGTAATACATTCTGAAAATCAGTTATATCTTTTGGGTAGGGTGCAGGGGCGGACTGACAAGTCATGGGGCCCCCGGGCAATAGGGGATCATGGGGCCCCTGTGTCCTTGCCCAAACTCAAAGCACACCAAAAAAGCCTAGAAAAGGAACCACGGGCATTTCATGGGGCCCCCTACTGACCCCGGGCCCTCGGGCAGTGCCCGAGTGCTCGAATGGTCAGTCCGCCCCTGGTAGGGTGTTTGTAGCACCACTGCCATATTCTCTGGAGATTTTTGCAGACCTTCAATAACATCCACATTATTGGACATTACTTAGTGTTTCAATTGTTTTAATCTTTTTGCCATAGTTACTATATATCAGCTAGAATTATTGAGAAAAGGGGCTAAATACTTGAATTTATGAGAAAAAATGCTTCCCTTGTTTCCTTAGTGCTGGTCTAAACGTTAGACATTTAATTAAGCCAGCCACAGATTATTCGAATCTTGGCTGGTTCAGCAGGGACCGGCTGAGAGATGAACCATGTATGGGCAAGCTGAATGTACCCAAGGTAATCGATCAACTTGGGCACAACCAACCTGTCAGATTTTACATGCGATTTTACAATGTCTCCATAGGAGGTATTCCCTCATCAACACTGACTGTGTTGATGGGGGAATCGAGTGATTTTGTTTCCTGCAACCCGTGGTTGCAAGAAAGAAAGTCACTCCATCTATGACTGGCTTTATTTCATCCCTGTTAACCACTTCACAACCGCGCTATAACCAAAAGACGGCTACAGCGCGGTTGTCCAGTTCTGGAAGGGCGTCATATGATGTCCTCCCAGAACACGCCCTTCCGTGCGCCCCCAATGGTGTGCAACCGGCGCTGTCTGGGATCACTGTGTCCTACGGACACAGCTGACCACAATGCTGAAGTAAAAGGCCAATCAAAGGAGCCTTTTACCACGTGATCAGCTGTGTCCAATGACACAGCAGATCACGGAGTAAATACAGCTGCCAATTAATGGCAGCACTTTTCTCACGCTGTCAGAGCATGAGGAAAGTACTGCCGATAAGCGGCAAATGTCACACTGTGTCTTCAGAGCCCATCAGTACTGCCTATCAGTGCCCATCAGTGCTGCCTCATCAACGCACATTAGTAAAGGAGTAAAATTACCTGTTTGCTAAATTTTATAATAGAAACAAATTTTTTTGCTTTTTTCTTTGTAGTGCACAAAATAAAACACCCAGTGGTGATTGAATACCACCAAAAGAAAGCTCTCATTGTGTGAAAAAATGATAAAAATTTTAGTTTGGGTACAATGTTGCACGACCGTGCAATTGTCATTCAAAGTGTGAGAGCACTGAAAACTGAAAATTGGCGTGGTCACGAAGGGGGTAAAGTGCCCGATAGGCAAGTGGTTAAAGGGAAGAATCAGAGATCAGATCAGCTGATACGCCCCTTTAGCCAAGATTATTGATCCTGAGATACTTGAGGTACCATCATGGAAAAAGTATCCCTTCAGGCAACGTTTTCAGTCTACCACTATTTATCAAGCCAAGCAAGTCTGTTAACAGCATTTTAAGTCGATATAGGGCTACTTGAATGATAACTTTTAAATTCCACATACGTAAACTTGAACTAAAGTGTTCTTTCAAATTACACTATATTTCACCCAGTGATGCAATTCAGCATCCATCTTTATAAACTACTGTAAAGTACAGGGCAAGCTCCATAACACTTTGGTTGTGAATTTATTACAGGACACATATTAGCTTTTATGTGTTTCATAGGAGTTGATTTATTAAATTGAAGAGTGCAAAATCTAGTGCAGCTGTGCATGGTAGCGAATCAGTTTCCAGATTTTTTTTTGCCAAAAAATTGAACAAGCTGAAGTTAGAAGCTGATTGGCTACCATACACAGCTGCACCAGGTTTTGCACGCTTCAGCTTTAGTAAATCAACCCCATAGTGTCTACCCATATTTTAATATGTTTTAATAAGAATAATACAACCTTGAGTGCTTTCTAAAATTATTTTAATGCCAACAAGCACTGTTGTGTAACATTTGAATGGATTTCAGGGTATTTTGTGTCATTGCTCCTGAACCCAAGAAACATGAAGACCTGTAAAGGTCTAGCAGACAATTCAAATTATGGAATTCAACTCCCTCCAATTCAACACAACCAACACAGATGTACAGCATATGTCTTCTATGGCAATTTAATTTTCTGAAATGATATATCTTTAAACAATTGATAAATTCTGAGTGTATTGTGTATGACCCAGCTATACTTGTGTATAGGGTGCCTATAGCCTGTAATTACCCATCCATGCACAATCTGACTGCCTTCAGGCAATTCTGTATGCCAATACTTCAGGGACTTGGCCAGAAATTAATGTTTAAGTGAATTGAGTGAGAAGGGGACGGAAATTATTGGTGCCAGCAGGCACTGCAAGTACTGCTTATCCCAGGGGGGAACAACAGCAAATGAAACAGGTTTTCTGGATAGATCAAGTGACTCTCATTTCTGATTTATGAGTAGATTAATTTGATCTTAACTGGAATATCAGCTATGTTTAAATATCAGCCAAATACCAACTTGACCAATTTTATCATGGGTGTCAGAAGATGACTCTGGATTCCAAACCTTATCATATTGTTTAAATATGCTCTTTGTTACTATATTTTCCATAGTAAGTATTTTTTTTTTTTTAATCTGCAGGATGTAGAACATGAAGTTCTGTTAAATCACATGAGCTGTCATTACTTTTGCTGAATTTATCTTCATCTATCACTTTAGGCTTTGCTCCTATAAGCAGCCATCTCTATTGCAAAATGAAACCTCTATGGCTCATCAATCAACTGCTGCATGCCGTAATGAGTATATAGTGCATGTTTTATTGCACATTGTTCACTTGTGACTATACAGTGGCGTATCATCCAAGGGTGCAGCGTGTGCGGGGCACATAGGGCCCGAGGGAAGGGTGTCCAATGTGCTTTGTCACACACTGCGCACATGGAAAGAATAAAAGTAAGTCAACAATATGTGCATGTGTTGTATAATATTATTAGAGGGGCCCAAGATTAGGTAGCAGCCATGGCACTTTTTTTATATTTTCAGATGTGCAGATGGTGGATGAGGACCAGCCACCTGCACATCCAAAAATAAAAAAAAGTTTTAATGGCTGCTACCTAATCTTGGGCCTCTCTAATGAAATTAGATAGTAGGATTCTAGTTCTGGCCGCCCACAGCCACTTGCACCCTGGTGGAATATCATGATATAGCTGCCTAGCTCCAGCTCCCTCAGTATGTTCCGAGGTCAGATGCTGGGGCTCTGTCTGAACAGCTTGCTTAGGATTTGGGCTGTATCTACACTGCCTCCCGTCACCACTGGCTTCACTCCACCTCCCATTTGTGTCTGCCCAGCTGCCCTCTTCCCTCCCCTCCCTTTCTCCCCTTCTCTCCCTCCCCGCTCCCCCCACACTCCTACCCTTATTCCTGCTTCCATCTTTCTTTCTCCCCCATCTCTTCCTACTTTTCACCTCCTCTCTCCCCTCTTTTGCTTCTCCTCTCTCTCCCCCCCCCCCCCATCTTTATTCTCTCTCTCTTGATCTTTCTTCCTTCTGTCTCACCCTCTCTCTCTTTCATTCTCCCTCCTCTCTATCTTTTCTTCCCATTTCTCTCAGTATCGCTCCCCCTCCTTTCCTCTCTCCCCCTTACAAACTTTCTCTCTTCCCCTCCTCTCTCTCATCCCCGTCTTCTATCTCTTTATCTCCCCTCTCTCTCTCACTTATCTCCCTCTCTCTGTCTTTTTCCCTCTTTCTCCCTCTCTTTTTCTCTCTCTCCCCTGTTCCCCCATACATTCTCTCCCCAATCTCTTCCTACTTATCACCCTCTACTCCCTATTCCCTTCCCCCCTCTCCCCCCCCCCCCCTCCTCTTCCATCCAAACCCCACCCCCCCCCCCCCCCCCTTTGCCCCCCTTTCTCTCTTTCTTCTCTCTCTCCCTCAAACTCTTTTTCCCCTCTTTTTTCCTTACTCTCTCCCTTTTCCACATTCCCTCCTCATCCTGTCTCTCTCTCTCCTGTCCACCCCTTCTCCTCCTGCACTCTCCCCCTCTTTTCCTACTCCCCCTTTCTCCCTCTCCCTTTCCTCCCTCCTCTATTCCATCTTTAGCTTCCCCATCTCTCTTTCTTCCCCTTCTATCTCTTTCTCCAATCCTCTCTCCACCCACCACCACCACTCTCATCCTAACTTGTGCACTCGATACACTGTGTTGTGTACTCCTGACTCCTGTAGTCAAATACATTGTATGTTATAGCCCTGAACAAGGTTTTTATTGTCCTGACAGTTTCTGTTTTGAAGCACTTGCCCTCCTGAGGATTTACCCCCCTTCCTGACCAGGCCATTTTTTTTGCATTAAGGCGCTGCATTACATTAACTGACAATTCTGCGGTCATGCAATGCTGCACCCAAATTAAATTTACGTCCTGTTTTCCCACAAATTGAGCTTTCTTTTGGTGGTATTTGATCGCCTGTGCATTTTTTATTTCTTTGCACTATACATAAAACAGTCTGACAATTTTGAGGAAAAAAAAACAATATTTTTGACTTTTTGCTATTAAACAAGTAAAAAATGTAAAAAAATCAAATGTCATCATAAATTTAGGCCAAAATGTATTCTGCTACATGTCTTTGTGTAAATTAATTGGTTTACGTGACAGTTATAGCGTTTACAAATGGCGGTGTATATACTGGGATTTATTTATTATTATTATTTCTTTATTGACACTTGGTTTTTACCTATCAAACATTAATATCAATAGGCCTGTTAAGAGAATGTTTTTCCAAGACTGGTTATGAATTATTTACAATGAAAGTGTTACTAAATCCAGGACCCTACATCCACTATATCTGGTCTCCCACAGTACACAGAACATGGAAATGCAATTATTTTAGTAAATATAAACTGCTAAATACCATTTCTCATCAGAAGTTTGAGCAGTCTTGTGGCTTCTATCAGTGTTCAGCCTAGTACTATCTAAAGCTTGTAGGATCACATGCACTCAAGGAAAAAAAAAAACTCTAGCAATACACACCAAACTGAGCATGTGCAAAATGCCTACGGTTCAGTCTGCTTATCAGGAAATAAGAGGTGGTACCTCTTTGTTGGAAATTGGGCTTGTTGAGCCCTCTAGAACCCCATCTAGTGGACAATCCTGTGGGGACCTATAGTGCTCCCCTGGTTAAACACCCCTCTGGGATGCTACTCTCCTTTGACACATTATGGCATTCAGCTGTGTATTACTGTAAAGAAAGTTCACTATGTACAAGTTATTTATTTATTTCAGGTGCTTATATAGCGCCGTCAATTTACGCAGCACTTTACACACACACACACATATATATATATATATATATTGTACATTCACATCAGTCCCTAACCCTCAAGGGGTGTACAATCTAAGGTACCTAACTTACCTGGAGGAAACCCACGATTCGAACCAGCGACCCTAGTACTGCCAACCATTATATTCGCTTGATGAAGATTTTCTGAAAAATTGAAACATGTTGGGGTTTCATCTACTTGCATGTGGTTGTTTCCTGTAGATGTGAGGATAGTCTATGTATATATACTTTTGTGGTTGATCAGGTGTTTCGTTTATATGATGTTTTTAATGAAAACTCCTCCCACAAGCTTTAACCAGTGCTCATCTGGACACTGATAGAAGTCACAAGACTGCTATATACTGCTGATGAGAAAAGGTGTTTAGCAGTTTATATTTACTAAAATAATTGCATTTTCATGCTCTGTGTACTGTGGGAGACCAGATACAGTGGAGATCGAAAGTTTGGGCACCCCAGCTAAAAATTTGTATTAATGTGCATAAAGAAGCCAAGGAAAGATGGAAAAATCTCCAAAAGGCATCAAATTACAGATTAGACATTCTTATAATATGTCAACAAAAGTTAGATTTTATTTCCATCATTTACACTTTCAAAATAACAGAAAACAAAAAAATGGCGTCTGCAAAAGTTTGGCCACCCTGCAGAGTTAATATCTTGTACTGCCCCCTTTGGCAAGTATCACAGCTTGTAAACGCTTTTTGTAGCCAGCCAAGAGTCTTTCATTTCTTGTTTGAGGTATCTTTGCCCATTCTTCCTTACAAAAGTCTTCCAGTTCTTTGAGATTTTTGGGCTGTCTGTCACGCACTGCTCTTTTAAGGTCTATCCATAGATTTTCAATTATGTTGAGGTCAGGAGATTGTGAAGGCCATGGCAAAAACTTCAGTTTACGCCTCTTGATGTAATCCCCCGTGGATTTCAAAGTGTGTTTTGGATCATTATCCATTTGTAGAAGCCATCCTCTCTTTAACTTCAGCTTTTTCACAGATGGCATCAAGTTACCATCCAAAATTTGCTGAAATTTTATTGAATCCATTTTTCCTTCTACTCGTGAGATGTTCCCTGTGCCACTGGCTGCAACACAACCCCAAAGCATGATTGATCCAACCCCATGCTTAACAGTTGGACAGAGGTTCTTTTCATTAAATTCTGTGCCCCTTCTTCTCCAAACGTACCTTTGCTCATTCCGGCCAAAAAGTTCAATTTTAACCTCATCGGTCCACAGAACTTGTTTCCAAAATGCATCAGGCTTGTCTATATGTTCATTTGCAAAGTTCAAACAATGATTTTTGTGGTGAGGACGTAGAAGAGGTTTTCTTCTGATGACTCTTCCATGAAGACCATATTTGTACAAGTATCTCTTTATAGTGGAATAGTGTACCACAACTCCAGTGTCTGCCAGATCTTTCTGGAGGGATCGTGCAGTCAAACGTGGGTTTTGAATTGTTTTTCTCACAATCCTGCGAGCTGTTCTGTCTGATATTTTGCTTGGTCTTCCAGATCTTGCTTTAACTTCCACTGTTCCTGATGACTGCCATTTCTTAATTACATTCCGAACAGAGGATATTGACATCTGAAAACGCTTTGCTATCTTTTTATAGCCTTCGCCAGCTTTGTGAGCGTCAACTATTTTCAGTTTCAGTTTTCTAGACAACTGCTTAGAAGAACCCATGGTGCTGATTGTTGGGGCAAGGTCAGATGAGTCTGGGCATTTAAAACCTTTGAGATTGACATCACCTGGTCTTCCCAGACGATGATTGAGAACAATCCATGACACTGGCAGGTCTCAGCTTTGCAAAGGGGGCAGTGCATGCTATAAATTCTGCAGGGTGCCCAAACTTTTGCAGACGCCATTTTTTTGTTTTCTGTTATTTTGAAAGTGTAAATGATGGAAATAAAATCTAACTTTTGTTGACATATTATAAGAATGTCTAATCTGTAATTTGATGCCTTTTAGAGATTTTTCCATCTTTCCTTGGCTTCTTTATGCACATTAATACAAATTTTTAGCTAGGGTGCCCAAACTTTCGATCCCCACTGTATAGTGAATGCTGGATACTGGGTTTAGTAACAGTTTAAGAACACTGAAAACTATCAAAATAAACAAACAGTAAAACTTTTAACACTTTTCAATTAGTATAATTGTAAAGATATGTCCAGTCCTTAAAAACAAGTCTAGCATTGGACAAGCAATGCTGCACAGCAGTAATAAAAGGAAGATCTGTGTCCAGAGATACACTAGCACCTTATACTGAGATAATTAGAACTTTTACATCAGCAGGAAATGTGTATGAAATGTCCACAACATTTACGTTAAAGTGGTTACATCGTCTTTAAAGCACAATTACCTCTGCACTTCAATAAAAATGTTCCCTCACCACAGGAATTGAAAGCAAAAAAAAAAGTACCAAATACCATTAAAGTAGAACTAAAGGCAAAACTTTTTGCATTTTGGATAAAGTAAGGGAAGGGTAAAATCCCTGTCAGTTTTGTTGTCATCTGTGTTCCATTGGGAAGGTTTTCCTTTCACTTCCTGTCCCATAACCAAAACAGGAAGTGAGAATTCCCTCTGAAATGAGGGAATCCCTGATTGCCACCAGAACTACGGCTCCCACTGGAACATTTTATCCTCAGTTCCTGTACAGGTGACAACTTAAAATTTGTAATTTTCTTTCACTTTCGAAAACTGTAAACAGGTCAAACAGAGAGGGTGAAACTCCCAAACGGGGACACGGAAGTAATGAAAACCTGACAGGTGTTCCAATCCGTCTCCACTCTATCCAAAACTATAGAAACATTTTGCCTTTAGTTATACTTTATTACAAACAGGGTGCTGTCTGTTGCCAAGGTACCAAACAAAATGTAGGCTCCATGCACACTAGCTGAAAAAACACTGGATAGAAAATGCTGGTAATAGCATCTTTTGGTGTTTAGGAGCGTAAGCGTTTATTAGCGTTTTTACAGTACAAATAAAAAAAAGCTATTAGGAGTGTTTTAAGCATTTAGTAACGTTTAGGAGCATTTAGCATTTTTTTTCTGCTGGAAAAACGCACCTAAAAACTCTATAAATACATTTTTTTTCTGCTCCTTGACTGAAGCTCAAAAAATGCTAATAACCTAAGGTAGTGTGCATGGACACATAGAATAGCACTATTTAGCTTCTTGGAGTAGAAAAAAAATGCTAACAACAGCTTTTAGGAGCTTAACCAGTTGCCAACCGAAGATAACCGAATGACGGCTGCACTGCGGCCAGCCAGTTCTGGGAGGGCGTCATATGACATCCTCCCAGAATGCGCTCTCCTGCGGGCCCCCGGGGGCTTGCCCCCAGCAATCTCCATGATCGATCTGTGCTACGGACACAGCTGATCACGTGATGGGGTAAAAGGCCAATAACAGCAGCCTTTTACCATGTGATCAGCCGTGTCCAGTGACACACTGATCACAGGGAAATGCAATTGCCGGTTCTCGGTTGCACTTTCCTCAAGCTGTCAGAGCGTGAGGAAAGTACTGCCAAGAACCGGCAGTTGTCAGAGCAGGGATCGGCACCGATCATCAGGGCACTGATGATCAGTGCTCTGATGATCGGTGCCCAGCAGTGCCACCCACCAGCTCTGCCCACCTGTGCCCTCCCACCTGTGCCCACCAGTGCCACCCACCAGTGCTTTCAGTGCCACCCAGCAGTGCCACCCAGCCACCCAGCAGTGCCACCCACCTGTGCCCACCTGTGCCACCCACCTGTGCCACCACCTGTGCCATCACCTGTGCCCATCAGTGCCAGTCAGCAGCCCAGCATTTGTGTCAGTCAGTGCCCAGCATTTGCCACCAGTCAGTGCCCAGCATTTGTGTCAGTCAGTGCCCAGCAGTTGCGCCAGTCAGTGCCCAGCAGTGATGCCAGTCAGTGCTGACTATCAGTACCCATCATCAGCACCGCCTATCAGTGCCACCTCATTAGTGCTGCCTATCAGTGCCGCCTATCAGTGCCCACCACTGCTGCCTCATCAACGCACATCAGTGAAGGAGTAAAATTACCTGTTTGCAAAATTTTATAATAGAAACAAAGAAACTTTTTTTTTTTTTTTTTATTACATTTTTTGCAGTTTTTTTGTTTATAGCATAAAAAGTAAAACGCCCAGCGGCAAGTAAATACCACCAAAAGAAAGCTCTATTTATGAGAAAAATATTATAAAAATGTCATATGGGTACAATCTTGCATGACCGCACACTTCAAATTGCGACAGCAATGAAAGCTGAAAATTGGCCTGGTAAGGAAGATGGTATAAGTGCCTGGTAGGCAAGTGGTTAACCACTTGCCCTCCAGAGGATTTACCTCCATTTCTGACCAGGCCATTTTTTGCAATACAGCACTGTGTTATTTTAACTGGCAATTGTGCAGTCATGCAACACTGCACCCAAATTAAATTTATGTCCTTTTTTCCCACAAATAGAGGTTTTCTTTGGTAGTATTTTAGCATTTGATCGCCTCTGCTGGTTTTATTTTTTGCGCTATAAACAAAAAAAGATCGACAATTTTGAGAAAAAACAATATTTTTGACTTTTTGTTATTAAACATGTCCAGTAAAAAAAATCAAATTTCATCATAAATGTAGGCCAAAATGTTATCTGCTACATGTCTTTGCTAAAAAAAATCCCAATACACGTAAATTAATTGGTTTATTTGAAAGTTACAACATTTACAAATGGCGGTATATATATTGGAATTTTTTTTTTTTACTAGCAATGGAGGCAATCAGCGACTTATAGCGGGACTGCGGCGGCATTCTGACACTGGGGGGAACTGACTTGGTGTTACTGACATCCCCAGTGACACCTACAGTGATCAGTGCTAATAAAAACCACTGACACTGTATTAATGGCACTGGGCAAGAAGGGGTTAACATACGGGGCTATCAAAGGGTTAACTTTGTGCTGTTTTACTATAAAGCTGTGTGCTGTGTTTCACTGTAAGCAAACTGCTTTGTATGGCTCTGCTATGCAGAGCCATACAAAGCAGTGTGCAGGAGCTGACAGGGGAGAGATCTGGGTTGTTTATACACAGGTCTCTCCCCCATTGGAGATACTAGGCGATAGGGTGGGTAGAAACCATGATTTTGTGCACCCATGCCACCCTATAGCAGCATTGCTGCTATAGGGCGATGTGGAAGCGGTTAAAAAAATTATAGTGTGCATGGAGCCTTAGGAGGGTAACGTTTTTGAATCAAGTTGGCATTTTGAATACATTTTGATTGTAACTGTTGTAGGTCTAAACACAATGAAACCAAACTGATCCAATCAGCAGCTTTAGAGCACACTTTTAACCCCTACTGTGAAGTTGCATTTGTGATTTGTACATTCTTAAAGTGGGCCTTACACTAAAACACAAAAGCTGGAGGAAAGCAGTTAAATAAATTTAAAACAGTGAAAATAACATAAATATCTTTACCTTACTTCCCGACTTGCGTAAAAGGTGATGTCACTGAGGATCCCCTAAATCCCACGATAGCGAGCTCCTGCACAGTTCTGGAGCATCTTCTTTCAATATTTTGTATCCTGGACTTTACTAAGATCCCATTGTGAGGCCCAGTGACATCAGGAAAAACAAGCAGCTTGAACCTGGGCAGTAAGGTAATAGGAAATGTGTAAAATCAAGTAAAATCATTTACTTGGAGTCTAAGGTGACACATAGTCAAAGGGCATTTTCCTGTGCGAGGGCATTTTCTACTGGAGTGCGAAGCAGCAGCTGAACACAGCCCCCCATGTCTTCTCTGCTTTTTGACAGGTAATGCTGCTGTCTCAACTCCATCTTAAACTGTCTTACTACTATGCATTGACTATCTGCAAAAACATAGGATAATTAGTCTACATCTTTTTGTCTGTATGTGGGGATTGATTCTCACCTCCTTTTTGCCTCTCTGTGATCAGAGAATCAATTATCTTTTATGACTTTTCCCTGTGTCTGGTCTGGCTTTGACCAATCCCCCCCCCCCCCCCCCCAAAAAAAAAAATTCATGTGTTTCTTGTCAGTTCCTATTTGGGGTGGGGAAGGATTCCTCATTTGATCATCTCCTTATAAATTTAGACCAGTTTATGGGGGAAGTCACAGACATGGGGGCATAGCCACAGGGCATTTTCCTGTGTGAGTGGAGTGGGAAGTAGCAGTTGAACACAGCAGTTTAACTAAAGCAGCAAGAAGATACAACAAAGCACTCTACTGCACTCTGGATGGACTGCAAGCAGAACACCCTGGGAAACATCTCCTCTACTCATCCTTTTTATATTAGTATCCTCTATTCTCAAAAATTCATTTCTCTACCCCTTTGCTCCACCCCAAAGCTTGTACATATCACCCTCACTTCTACCATCTCCCTACAACTGCTCTCATCACCTCCTGCTGATACTTTACTCTCCTGCTGACCCAAACACCAGGACAGGAAGGCATTTGCACGCATTTACATCCCACTCCCATCTTACTTTCCTCACCCTCCTTCTTCTCCTAACCTCTGGGGATATCTCCCCAAACCCTGGTCCTCCAGTATCTCACCCCCACACCAGGAGCCCTCCATCCTCCAGGAATAGCCACAATCCACTCTATTTAATCTCAATCCCCTGCTTCTAAAAACCACACTCCCTTTTTCATGTACACTCTGAAATGCCCACTTTGTCTGTAACAAGCTCTGCTCTGTCCATGACCTTTGTGTCTCCCACTCCCTTAACCTACTAGCAATTACAGAAACCTGGCTTCAAGCATCAGTTTCTGCTTCTCCCACAGTACTTTCCCATGGAGGCCTTCTCTGGACCCACTCGCCCAGACCCAGTGGTCGGAAAGGAGGTGAAGTTGGTTTGCTTCTATCCCCACTGAGCACCTTTCAAGTCCTCCCTACCCCTCCCTCTCTATACTTCTCTTCTTTCGAGACTCACTGTATTTGACTGTTCCCATTTCTTTGAGGATTGCAGTGATCTATCGGCCTCCTGGACCGCTGCCGTGCTTTCTTGATAATTTTTTTGCCTGGTTACCCTACTTTCTCTCCTCTGAAATACCCACTATCATTCTTGGTGCTTTTAACATCCCCATTAATTTTAACAACACAGTTACATCCCGACTCTTCAACTGAACCTCATCTTTTGCCTTAACACAATGGACAGTCCTCCACTCAGAACTTGTTTTTCTCCCATTTTGCACTCCCTACAACCTCACAAACACCCCCTTTCCTCTCTCTGATCACAATCTCATCACCTTCACATTGTCCTTGTCTTCAAACACTTATCCCTCCAAGCAACAAACAATTCCCTGCAGAAACCTTCACAACTTTAACCCTTCTGTTTTCTACTCTGCAACTGATTGCCTCTATGACAGAATCTCTCCACTGTCCTGCTCTGACCTGGCCACTGCTGTCACAACAGTTCACTTTCATCACACTAGACTCACTTGCTCCTCTAACTACACAAAGCATCAGGCCTGACCATTGCAGCCTTGGCAGACTGACGACACCAGAAATCTTAAGCGACCTAGTCATGCACTGGAGTGATTGTGGCGTAAAACCAAATCCCAGCAAGCATTCATCCTATATAAATCTGCTTTCTTAACATACAATTCCTCCCTCCATGCTGCCAAACAAGCCTACTTTGCCAGTCTTATTAATACCTTGTCATCCAGTATCCACACTACTCCGTACTCTTACTACTTGACGTCTCTGTGGCTTTTGACACTGTTGACCATCCCCTTCTCCGCAAAAAACTCTACTCTTTTGGCCTCCAAGACCCTGCTCTCTCCTGGTTCTTCTCTTACCTATAGCAGCACTCCTTCAGTGTTACCTATAACTCTGTCTCCACCTCTCCATTTCCTCTTTCTGTAGGTGTCCCTCAAGGTTCTGTCCTTGGAACCCTTCTCTTCTCCATCTGCACCTCTTCCCTTGGTCACTTCATAAATTCCCATGGCTTCAAGTACCATTTCTATGCTGATGACACACAAATCTATCTTTCTACCCTCACCTCACCCCTTCAGTCTCCTCTCGCATTACTAACCTACTAAGTGACATATCAGCATGGATGTCACTCCACTTCCTCAAACTCAATCTTTCTAAAACGTAGCTCAAAATATTCCCTCCAGCCCGTGCCCCCTCCCCTGACTTCTCAGGGTCCATCCAAATTGCTGTAACTTCAAAATGTTAAACTTCATGTAATCCGAAAGAGCAGTGCCGACTGTTATTTCCAGGAAGGTTGTCTAAGTTTCCCAAAATGGCAATGCCCAGATACCACAGAAGGACTAGTACAGGGGCCAGCACCTTGATGAATACCCAAAAGGGAGAGACTAAAGGGTAGAGTCATGTGTAGTGTAGGGGTCCCATGGCAAAGCTTTCTTTAAATGTTTTTACATTCTAAGGTAAACTATTTAAAATGTAAAATGCAGAGAAAAGAGGTGCACTGACCTGCAAGTAACAAATAAATTGAGCAAAAAGAAAAAATAAAGGAACTCACAGTAATGACTGCAAGGCTTGACAAAGGAGTCTCCTCTGAAACGTGTTGCCTAGCAACTACATACTACTCAGAGGTTTCTCTGCTTCAAGCCCAAAGGCTTTGCACTGCACCTGAGCAGCAGGACCTGTGTTCGCCATGTTTTTACAAGCTCCAACATAGTTCACTCACACCATCCAGCTCCACCACTGGAGTTGTGAGTTTACAGTTTCCTGACCAGGCTCTTGACAGGCAATGATCCTGCAGTCATTACTGTGAGTGCCTTCATTCTTCTATTTTGCTCTTCTTTCTCATTCATTATTACATGTAGGTCGATGTGCCTCTTTTCTTAGCACCTTACAGTTTATTGGAACGAAGGAGTATCCCCGTCCT